CTCAAACAATTCTAAGTATTATGCAATATACAGCATTTCTATGTTGACATGTCCTGTACCCTGTGATTGGATTGTTTTGGCAGTTTCCGGGTATGAATTGTCATGCTTTTTATGGATTAGGTGTGGTATACCTGATTAGCTTCTACTTATATGGTCTTCAGTCTGTGGTTAGTGGTTAATCCGTTAGCGGTTAATGTGTGGAAAGACTGATCCACATAACCTCCTTACTGTGGTTCAAAGATGCCCCACTTACCATTTGCTAAGGAAATGTCTATTTTTCAGGCATTCTGTTGTTGAGACAAGCCAAAGCTGATCCAAATCTGTATGGAGAATCCATGCCCTGTGGAGAAGGAGGCTTGAGATAATATGATTATGATTGGGGCCAGTGATCTGCTGAACTACAGATGGCCCACTGGACCTGCTGTGAACCACCTCTTTCCATCAGGTCACTGGGCTTGGATGTTCTGCAGTACTATTTTGGCTGCAAGGGAGTCTTGAAATGCAGCTGCCTTCCTCCCCCGACCTTTTAAAGCTGGTGATTGGTTACTTGATTTAGAGCAATATTTCTCCAACTTGGCAATCTCATACTTCAATTCTCAGAATTCATGCCGGATGGAGAGTTCTGGGAGTTTTAAGTCCACACATCTTAAAGTTGCCAAGTTTGAGAAAAAACAATTTAGAGGGTGCTGAAGTCCTGAAATTGACCGGCCTATCCCTAATTTAATGTCTGTAATTGAAAGGATGGTTGAAAGGGTTCCCCTCTTTAACTTATGTAGCCTGAGCAATTGGGAATTCTCTTCTCAATGGCCTTGGTTTTTCAGTTCCTCTACACATGGAATGTTCTTTTTAAAAAATCAATTCCATCATGGAAAGTTTCCTGGTATGGATATGGCCTAAGCATACAGCAGAAAGCTCATATATAGGATCCAGCATTTCTGAACTCCGGACATACAGAAAAAACTAGTTATTTCATGCCACCTAGTGGTCAATAGATAAATAGATAAATTATCAGTAGTTTTGAAGCAGGTGTGTGTGTGTGTGTGTGTGTGCGTGCGTGCGTGCGTGCGTGCGTGCGTGCGTGTGTGTGTAAAAAGATTTCCCCTGTACAGTCCTGTCTGACTCTTAGGGGGCAGTGCTCATCTTCGTTTTTTAGCTGAAGGAGCCAGCATTGTCTAAAGGTGTTTCAGTGGTCATGTGGCTGGCATGACTATACCTTGAATGGAACGTTGTTACCCTCCCACTGAAATGTACCTATTTATCTACCTGTATTTGCATGCTTTCATACTGCTAGGTTGGCAGGAGCTGGGGCAAGAACAGGAGCTCACCCTGTCACAAGGTACTTGGGTCTCGAACTGCCAACCTTCTAGTTGACAAGTGCAGAGACTTAACCACTAGGCCACCGTGTACCTGACAGCATTTTACAGCTTCAATACATTTACTCAGGCCTAACTCCCTATTTTCAACTCCAGGTCCAAGGATCCTTACACAGAGACAGCATCTGAGCTGTGCAAATACTGGCAGCCACAACTGTGCAGTTAACACAGAGAAACTATAGTAATTTATCCATTGTTAGGATGATAGGTCAACAGACCTTGGGGAAACAAGGTTAAGGGAAAAATGATTAGCTGAAGTACTTTGCAGGGATCATCTGAAATATGTTCTGTATGGCAGTTGATGACAGCTTTTCACGCAGTTGGTGGCATTCAGATTTCAGCCAGGGAAAACTGCCAGTCACTGCCCTTACAATGTTGCACAGCAAGATTTGGTTTCATCTTGGATCAGTGTTTTGCTATTTTATGATCTGAGTGGCTGAGTTTATAAATCAAATAATATTACTGGAATGCAAAGCCAAAAAAAAAGTTTCTATTATGAACCATAGGTGGGCTGAGACAGATTTCAGCAGTGGTAAATCTCATCAGTGTTTTATGTTGTTCAGTTCCAAGGCCCACTGTAACCAGGTACAACATTTAGCTTAAAATAAATAAGATGCCTTTGAGTGAATTCCGAGCTTAACAATTGGTTTTCAGCAGCTGAGCTGAACTGAGATCACAATCCTTTCACACAAAAAGCCAATTTTTTGTTAATTCAAGCTTTCTCAATTGATAGTTTAGATGAAACAAACAACAACAAGCTGGCTTAGTTGTTGGAACTGTTAGGCAGTTTAAAACCAGGAATTACAGGTAGTCCTTGACATAACAACCATCCATTTAATGACCATTCAAAGTTACAACAGCATTGAAAAAAATGACTTTTTACCTATTCTCATACTTATCACCATTGCAGCATCTCCACAGTCATGTGATCAAATTTCGGGTGCTTGGGATATATTTATGATGGTTGCAGTGTCCCAGGATCCTGGGGTTGTCATTTGTAATCTTCCTAAGGGGCTTCTGATAAGTAAAGTTAATGGGGGAAGCCAGATTTGCTTAATGACCACAGGATTCATTTAACCACTGTAGTGATTTGGTTAACAACCATGACAGAAAGGTCGTAAAATGGGACATGATTCACTTAAAAACTATTTTGTTTAGCAATGGAAATTTTGGGCTCAGTTGTGGTTGTAAGTTGAGGACTACCTGTTATTATTATCAGGAGATTCCAAGCTGATTTCAGGCCATGCCTGCTACCATGTTTCCCCGAAAATAAACCACATCCCCCCCCCCAAAAAAGACCTGCCTTAATTTGTGGGGGTAGGCCTAATATGTCCTACTCCAAAAATAAGCCCTAATTAGGATCCCGCCCACTCTGTCCCACCTGGGTGCCACAATGGGGCAGGAGACCACGTGGCACATCGCGCCACTTCCGCCACAATGAGGCGAGGCAGGTGGGGGAGGGGTGGAGCTGCGCCCTGCACCCGCTTCCTTCAGGCCCCCCCCCCCAGCCAGGCCATTCCTTGCTCTCTTTCACTCCCCTCCCGAGCCGGACTGCCATGCTACCGCATGGAGGCTGGGTAGGGTAGACCTGGTCCCCCTCTGCCATTTCGGAGCCGGGGGGAGTGACGGCGAAAGGCTCCGCTGCTGCTGTGTGCCGCTGCAGGGGCTTTCTTCATGCTCCACCCTGTAGATCACCTGCCTGGCGGCAGCCGCCACTTCTTTCTCTGCCAACTCTCCCGTGGCTTGGCAGCCCCATTTCCTGCCGCTTCTCCTCCCGGCGCTGCTATAGAGCTTGGCCCACCATCACCCAGTTCCTCCCTCTTCCCGAAAGCAAAAAAAAAATCTTCACTAACCTGCTTTCCAGCTCTGGTGCGTTTCTCTCCTGCTGCAGGGAAACGGAGTTCGTGAGACTAAAAAAAGTTCAGTCAGACCTTCCAACTTCTTGCGAAAAAAAAAAAGTTGGAAGGTCATGATAGCAGTGTTCCAATATCTCAGGGGCTGCCACAAAGAAGAGGGAGTCAAGCTATTCTCCAAAGCGCCTGAAGGCAGGACAAGAAGCAACGGATGGAAACTAATCAAGGAGAGAAGCAACCTAGAACTAAGGAGAAGCTTCCTGACAGTTAGAACAATTAACCAGTGGAACAACCTGCCTCCAGAAGCGGTGAATGCTCCAACACTGGAAGTTTTTAAGAAGAGACTGGTCAGCCATTCGTCTGAAATGGTATAGGGCAGTGGTGGCGAACCTATGGCACGCGTGCCAGAGGCGGCACTCAGAGCCCTCTCTGTGGGCACGCGCGCTGTTGCCCCAGCAGAGTTTGTCAGAGTAGCGAACACGTGGCGTTTGGAAGCGACAGGGCAGGAAGTGAGTGAGCAAGCAGTGTTAGATGACGAGGGACGCCCCCGCCACCCTGGTACCGGCCTGCTCATCCAGTCTGCTGTGAACACTGCAGCCACGCCCACCCAGTGCCCCCCCCCGAGGGCACCACAATGCTGATGCAGCCCTGGCACTTTGCGATAAATAAGTGGGTTTTGGGTTGCAGTTTGGGCACTCGGTCTCTAAAAGGTTCACCATCACTGGTATAGGGTTTCTTGCCTGAACAGGGGGTTGGACTAGATGACCTCCAATGTCCCTTCCAAGATCATCATCATCATCATCATCATCATCATCATCATCATCATCATCATCATCATCATTATTATTATTATTATTATTATTATTATTGGTCTGACTGAAAATATAAGACACCACCTGAAAGTAAGACCTAATGCCTCTTTTGGAGGCAAAAATAATATAAGACCGGGTCTTACTTTCAGGGAAACACGGTAGGTACAACTGAGATTGTTAATAGCTTAGTTTCTTATGAAAACTCAGTAAATTGTGGTTTTAACAAACCTTGGTTAAGCAAATAAGACATGATAAGCCAGTCCTAGTGTGGAAATGAGTGCAGTCTTGCTTGGTCTCAGCCCTAGTGTGATTATCCTGATAGGCTTTGAATAAAAGGTATCTTCTTTCCTGCTTTTCACCTCTTCCCTTTACTGAAATCAAACCCTCTCCTACCTCCCACCCCAAACCCCACAATAGCCTGAAGATTTTATGTACAAAGAGTCTGAATGCAAAATATTTTCATCCGAGTCAAGTCTCAGTGTGTTTAGCTTCATTATGGATGAAGAGACCTGAGTTTTAATAGCAAATCCATTTGACAAGAAAAGCTATTAACCTCTGTTTCTTGTATCAGTATTCTTACAGCAGCACATTTTAGTTAAAGTAATCTTCTTTGTCCTGGAGGCTGCTTGCAGATAATGCAGACATTATCCTTATCTCTGAAATAAATAGAACAAGGTGGCATTTCAAATATTGTTGCAAGCTTGAAAGAGTCTATAATCAAAAGAACTGCAAAAAGGAAACAGCAGTAAAGGGCAAAAGGCTTTTGGTTAGCAGCATGCAACAGAAACTCTCCCTAGGATTAATAACCCCAGGTTTTGCTTGTGAGAATAGCTGCCAAGTACTATAAGGGGAAAGAAGAAGAGTGAGATTCATGATTATGTTATTTGTAGTCTGCTTTGGAATGGTTGGATTCATCACTGGCACTACATCTTTCCAATTTCTTTTGTCTCTTTGTATTTCAGTGATCAGAGCAAAGGCTGTCTCTGAAAAAGAGGTGGACTCTGGGAATGACATCTATGGAAACCCCATCAAACACATCCAGTATGAGATCAAACAGATAAAGGTAACAAACAGCTACAGTATATGAAATCCATAGCTTTGGCTATTTGTATACAGGCAGTCCCTAGGTTAAGAATGACTTCTGTTCCTAATGCCATCTTTAACTCAAATTTGTATGGAAGTTGGAACTTGTACTTACAAATGGACAGCCTGTTCCTTAAAAAAGTGGATGACATTGTCCTTCCTTGAACTGATGAACTGCTGAAGCTGCAAAATGCTTTCAAGAACTGCTGAAAAAGGCTGAAAACAGGCTTATATATTAAAAATGTACAGCTTCAGTGGTTCCTGAAAGCATTGTACGGCTTCAGCATTTCATCAGCTCAAGGAACGAGAACACTGACTGCCATTTTTAGCAATAGGCAGCCTGTTGGTATTTGAAGATAGTCCTTACTTTCTGAACCTGGGGGCTGCCTGTGTATCTGCCTTGTACATACACACAAAGAAGAGCAACAGCAATTCAGAGTGAAACTGCAGAGAACCTATAAACCAGTTGTGTTAGTGCTAGACATTTTCTGTGTTTTGTTTTCATGTCAGATTTCCAGCTGCCTTGTTTAGAACTATTAAAATATTTTTAATTTACCAGTTGGGAATATGTAGACTAACGAAAGAATAAGAAAAAGGAAGGGGAAGAAAAGCCTTCTAGTCTTAGCTGATAGTGTAAAAACATTGAAAAACCCCTCAAAAGCAAAGAAATCAAGAGTGGATCTAACTCTAGCATAGGCTAGAGTTAGATCCAATTGGCATTCTATTCCTACACTGATTTAATGAAAGAAGAGCAAAAGAGCTATCATTCTGTATCCTAGAACTAGTATGGAAGAAGCAGCCTTTAAGAGCAGTTTTGGTTTCCTGTTTCTGGAATTTCTTTGGAATTGACCTATTAATGTTTGATTTCCCTGCATGTCATCTGTAAAAGCTTCTCCCTCTGCTGGAGAAGCTGTTGGAAACAAATGCTCCTTTTCCATACATTAAGGCTCTACTCTAAAATAACTTGATCTTAGATCTCAGTACAACATCCCATTTGCCAGATTCATTAATGATCTATTTTATGGTTTTTTTTAAAAAAAATATCCCTAAACATAAAGTTAACATTTGTCAAATGAAAATCAGTTGGATATAAGATCACATGCCGAATGATAGAATTCACACACATTAACCATAACTTTAGTTTCTAAATCACAATGTATGGCTTGACACAATCTCTGAATCCCCTTGTTGTAATAATGGTTAATGGATGGCCTTTTAAAAATAAATAGGTGGTAGCACTTTATTGGCATAGTGATTGATAGAGAAATCAATCAATCAATCAATCAATCAATCAATCAATCAAGAGGGAAAATCGATAGGAAAAATATACATGCCTGTCAAAGGATTAAAGAAAATTGTGAAAACATTGGTCCCTGTATTTTGACTGTGTTTGGGAAAGAACTTGGAATAACATTGGAAACACTGGAATTTGCTTCCCCATCTTGATATTCTCCAAATGTGCTAGATCGCCACTCCTACAGTTTCTAACTAGGATTTCTGGAATGAGACCAGCACATCTGGAGGGTACCAGTTTGAAAAGGTTGCACTAGAAACATGTCTGACATGATGATTAGCAAGAGGAAGGGCTTGTGCACGTAAAGATTTCTAAAGGGTGTGCGCCATCTTACTTTTTTAAAAAAAAATATTAACTGGCATGGTTGTTACTCTTGGCCTCATTTGCTTCTTTCCTTTCAGATGTTTAAAGGGCCAGAACAGGACATTGAATTCATCTTCACAGCTCCCTCCTCAGCAGTGTGTGGAGTGACACTGGATGTTGGTGGCAAGAAGGAATATCTCATTGCGGGTAAAGAATAATAAATTTGCAAAGTCCAGAAAAGGAGTAAGAAATAGAAAGCCAATGAAATAGAGCTATGAAAGACAAAAAACAAACAAACCCAAATCTGCTTTTTACCAGTCCCGTATCACTCAAAATACCCAAAATATTTCTGACAATGAGCTTTGTACAAGAAATGAATCTTCAAATTTGGTGATCACATATCTTTGGCAACTTGGTACTAGAATCTTGTAGTGGTGTTTGACTGGCTGTTTCTTAGAAAATAAAGTGATAAACAGGATCCTTAGTCTGACTCTAATCCAGCTTCCTGCTCAATGCAAGATTCATAGTGAGAGGTCCTTGGTGCTCTCTGAGCTTGAGGTGTTTTTTTTTGCAGACATTTCATTACTCAAACTGAATAACATCATCAGGTATTAGGCACACGTTTAAAATCAAGCTAGGTCTTATTTTCAGGATAGGTCTTATTTTTGGGGAAACATGGTACTGAGGTTTGCTCTCAGTTTATATTCTAGTAGCTTGCCCTGTTAATGTTGGTGGGAGTGGTCTTGGAAGTTCTTTGGTTGGGCTGTTTAATGTTGGCTTGTTTGGCAGTTCCTTGATTGAGGTATTGTTTACTTGATAGTTGGTCTGATGTTAATCTCGGAGTTAATCTATGCTCATCTGGGTGCTGATTGCTGGTGGGGAGGTGTTTTGGTCTTTTTGTTCCCTTTTTGACTTGTTGATTATCTCTGTTGCACACCCTGTAGATATTGTTTATGGCTATCTGTTTATTGATGACTAATTTGTCAGGGTGCCAGGCTTCTAGAAGATTCATAGCACAGATTGTTATAATACAGTACATCCACAGTTGGGGACTGCTCAGCTTCATCTGAAATCTCAGCAGCTCTCTAAATTGCAAAATGTCTTCAAATGATTAGCTGGCTTCCCTAACAGTTTCCAACTATTATTTTTAGAAGAATAGAAGAATTCTGTTTCATCTGCCTCATGATAGCTCTTCAAACATGTGAAGTTTACTATCAGTTCCCATAATTTTCTCTTTTTCAGTCATAGCCATTGGTGAGGGCAGCAAGGGGTGGGAGACCGATGCAACACACAGCCTCATCTCATGATGCAAAATCTGTGGCATATGTGCTTGTTGGGACACCACAATATAACTCTGGAATTTATGTTGCAACCTCTCTCCACATGGATCATCATTTTGCCATGATCTGTTTGCCGCACATGCCTGTGATTACAGGCTAAACAAATTTACTTCTTTGAAATGTTTTTAATGAAATTTGCCTTTTAGTTCTCTTATCATCATATTATTCTTCTCTGTGCATATTCCAGTTTTTCAATCTCCTTAAAATAAGATGCCAGAAATAGAGAAAGGGATTTCATTTGTAGCCTAGTATGGAAGAGTATACCTATTATTTTTATACTTTTTGTTATGCACTGGGCTTAATTAAGAGCAGGTGCAGGGAGCTGCACCAGAACAGTCAGCAGACCATGTGGTCTGCCCGGTCAGACTTGCTGTCTGCAAGCAATGACTAGCATGCAATTTGAGCGGGAAAAGCCGTTGCAACGATTGGCTGGCGACGCCCCAGGGAGAATGAATAAAAAGGGCAGAGCCATTTTGTTGTTCTGTTTTACTTGAATAAAGAAATATCTGTTCATGAGCTCTGACTATTCAATGCCTACCGACGCGAAGAACAGAACACTTTTATTTTTCAATAAATGAATGTGAAATGGGCAAATTATACATTACAGCTCAAGCTTTCAAATTCATCCTTATTTATTTCCACAAATATATGCTGGTCCTGTAACTTTTAACAGGGCTTATAAGAAAAAAGTGGCTGATTGTTAGGGGGTGATCATTAAGCCAAAGTTAGATGGAGAGGCAAGACTGGAATTGATTGATTTGCCAATTTGCTTTGGGAAATAGTTATTTTATGATAGGCGATGCCCATTGTGGCAGCCATTTTGTGAATGTTCAGCTTACCCACAAAGACAGCCATTTTGTGAATGTGATCTGGAAATTCCAGAGGTGCCTACCAAGTGCTATCCCCCCATCCCCAATTGACTGGAAGCTGTGTAGGAGAGTGCAATTATTTAAAAATCAAAGTTTGTTTTAGCTCTCATTTTATTTACAATTTAGGTTTCCCAATCAAATTAAGAGGGTGGCCACTACATAAGTTAACTCTGGAATTAATCAGGAAAGTGTTCTCTGGCTTGCAGGCTGCTATTCATAATTGCTTTGTTCTCTCAGGGAAATCGGAGGGTAATGGCAGGATGCATATCACCCTGTGTGACTTCATTGTTCCTTGGGATTCCCTCAGTGCTACCCAAAAGAAGAGTCTCAACCAGCGGTATCAGATGGGCTGTGAATGCAAGGTAAATCCAAATTTATTTACTTGTTTGTTTGTTTATTTGATTTCTATAGCTGCCCATTTCAACAAGTGATTTTGGAGTGGCTTATATTATAAAATTATAATTATAAAAAACAATGAAAACAATATAAAATAAATATATATGGTTATTGAGTAGGACTATTGTCATGGATGTTAATACAGTCAAGAAACCGAGTCCTTACGTCACTCAGTACCTCAGGCCCAGGCACACAACCAAGTTGTGCTAACAGCCTAACTTGCTGGACCCAACTGGCAGGTGGAAATGACTGGGAGAAGACTGTTCTTTAACCCAGTCCCAAACCATGAAGAGCTTTAAAGGTGATAACCAACACCTGGAATTGTACCGGGAAGCACACTGGCAGCCAGTGTCACTCACATTGGCATTGTTAACGTCTGTCAAGCATCCAACACTTTTTACTACTCATGCAGTCACGTTCTGCATCATTTGAAGCTTCTGAATGCTGAAGGGCAGTCCCCTGTAAAAGCGCATTACAGCAATCAAGACAAGAGGTCATGAGGAATAAGCGACTATAAACAAAACCTCCCAATTCAGGCACAGGTGCAACTGTCTCACAACCCTAAGGTGTGCAAAGGTCCTTCTGGCCACAGTTGCTAGCTGCTCTTCTAGCAGGAGCCATAAGTCCCAGAAGATCCCCCCAGATTGTACACAGGCAATGCCACCAGGGCCAGTAGTGGGAAAACTTTTTTCTTCAGAAGGCCCAAATACCCAATGTCATTCAGTCTTGCTTGGATTGAGACAAAGCTGATTGCACTCCATCCCGACCCCTTACAGTCTCCATGCACTGGGAACAGGACATCCATGGCATCGTTCAGCAGCTCAGCATGAAGCTATAAAGCTGCCCAATCCCAATCCCTAATTATCACCTCACCTAGAGCCTCATGTAGATGTTAAATAGGAGAGAACTGAGCCTGGGGTACCCCCCAAAGTAGAGATTGGCTGAATACCTCCCCATCAACTCCGACTGGAATTGATCCAAGAAGAAGTAGAACCAGCTCAACACAGTACTGCCCCATCCAATTCACAAAGCCGGTCCAGAAGGATACCATGATCGATAATATTGAAAGCTGCTGATAGGTCAAGAAGAGCGAGGATGGTCACACTGCCCTAATCTGGTTCCTACCACAGGTCATCTAAGAGTGTAGTCAGTGTCATCTTAATCTTGTAACCTGGCCTGAACCCTTTCAACTTTGGACCTTCTGCGAGGAGGAGAATGGCTCCTGTTTGCTTTTTTGCTTTACCTTCTTGGAGGTGCTGGCAGAATAAAGTATTTATTCAGCTGAAGAACTCCCAACCCACCCCAATCCTCAAAGATCTGAGTGATGTATAACCTCAAAACAAAACAAAAAGGCCATGGTAATTAGTACCAAAAATCAGAATCAAATTCAGAAGGCAGACTAACATGAAACAAATTTAACTTGCTTTCAGAATTGCAAACAGGTAGGGTTCCCTGGACTACTACTGGTGAATGATGAACAGACTACTAGACAGAATTCCTGCTCTCTCTCATTCATACCAAATAGACAGACTCCATTCTGGCAAGGTATTGCCCAAGATTTTGTAGGCTCTTACAGTTGAATGAAATCTTGGAAGTCTTCTAGTCCAATACCCTATCCAAGGCTGTGTTATTCAGGGCTTTAAAACACTTTGATTTGGACCCAGAAGTCTACTGGTAACCAATGTAGGCACTTTAAAATGCTCATAATTCCATATTGATGGTATTGTCTTGCTAGTAATCTTGCATGCTAACCCATCAGATTGCTCAGATGTTTGGTCCAAAATGCTGCAATGCATGGAACTTGAATCCAATGCCAGCAGGGTTAATCGGATCTTCAATCATAATGGTAGGAAATCATGGAATATTGGTATTTTTTCTCTGCAGATTTCCCGCTGCCCCTTCATCCCCTGCTATGTCTCTGCTCAGGATGAGTGTCTGTGGACTGACTGGGTGACAGAGAAGAACATCAATGGGCGGCAGGCAAAACACTATGCCTGCATTAAGCGGAGTGATGGTTCCTGTGCGTGGTACCGTGGAGTGGCTCCCCCTAAACAGGAGTTCCTTGACATTGAGGATCCTTGAGTTCCTTTGGCACCAGCAGCATGGCCTGCAAGGAATTAGATCGGTCCACATTTGACATCTCTTCCTGGAAACAGCATGAAAATAAAATCTCATGGGCAGGCCAATAGTGGTGGGCGGAGAGTGCTAAGGAAAGGGATGTTGAGGCCATTCATACATTGCTTCTTCTGCTTCTTCTCCTGTGCTGTCTTCTTACTCTATGGATTTCAGCAGCAACATGTCAAAGTGTAATGGAGGAAGGCAGTATCAAAAGTATGATTGGCTGAGAGGTGTTGTCTCTGATTCTGGGTAGCAGGCCTACCAGGTTCTTATTGTCTTGAGAAGACATCCCTCCTTGTGAAGAAAGCATGTAAACCCTCTCTTTCCCACTCTCCCACCTTCTGCCTGGGTCAAAACCCCTCTTCTTTCCACATATGAAATTATTCCATACTTACTGCTTTAGAGTCATTCCTTTCTTTTAGCCACATCTACAGAGACACATGTGGTGGGCTGAGATTAAACATGCATTTGGGGGCTCCATGAAAAGTGGTGGTGGTGTCATCAGTCAGGGCATCCTTTTGCAGAGAGTTGTGTTATCTTCCAAGGACTAAGCAACCCTTTGAAAATTGACTATCAGAGGGAGACAGTATCTTCTTTCAGGGGCAAAAATTGAAAGTGGGGAGATTAATCATGTTACAAAATTAGTTAATATATATAGCCTGGAAGACATGCAAGAGATATATGCAGCTTTTAGCTTTGCATCTGGAGTTGTCAAAATTGAGTTCAAAAAAGGGTTTCAGGATATGGACTTACTCCATATACTTTATCCACCTTTTTCATATCCGTGCCATTAATGTAATTCTGATGTCACAGTCTCTCTTAAGCCACTTGTAAAGTTTGCTATTCCTACTAGGATATTGGAACTTTGTAGATCAAGGAATTGTCATTTTTCTCTTGCTCCTCCTCCTCCAAAGTTCCTGGCACAGAATGATTTTTTAATCAGACCAACACAGCTCCAAGCCCTCCGATTTGCTCGATGGAGAAACTAATTTTTGCCTCAAGAATTCTGCAGACGGCAAACATTTATGTTCTCTTCCCAAATATGTGATTAGGAGAGTTGGCCAGTGATACACACCTTTATAAACTGTGATTATAAATGCTCCTTTATAGTAATGACAAAACCCTCCACTATCTGAAAAGGAGCATTATTCAGTTCAGCCTTTCCATTCCCCCTTCTGAGCTAGTCCTTTCTTTCCTTGGTTTCCCCAAGCTCTGTGAGCCCCCCCCCCCTCCTTTGAGATTCTCAGACCTAGATCCGAAGGATACTTACACTTATTCTTAGCCAGGCCTGCCCCCTGTGGCCTTTTCATGCTGTTCATCAAGGTAGAATTTAAAGATGTCATACTGGGCCAGTCTGTTGATTTCAATATATTTTTAAAACAAGAAAAAGGAAAAAGAATCTGTTCAATCCAATATAAGACTCCTGTTTTACTTCCTGTACGGTTATATCCTATGTGACATTTACCTTTCTCTCTGTTGATACTTTTTGATTTTTAATTTTTTTTCAGTTTGTTTCAGCAATCAGTTGTATCATTCCTCTATTATGTTCTTTTAATGTCCTTGTTTAGCTGTTAGATTTGCACTTATTACTTTGTAAAGGGGTTCTGCGTTGGAAGCTTTTAACATACAGTGGGGAAGAATGTCAAAATGTATGGAGGACAATGTTCCTTCCTTCATCTTGGAATGCCAGCGGAAGCAGTATTCTGTTCCTGTCTTCTTCTCTGGCTTCTCCTGCAGCATGTGTAAGACTTTTACAGAGACTGGAGGGTAGCAGCAACACGTGACTGCTTCTTGCTAGCCAAACTGCAGCTCCCAGCCTGCCAGCAAGCAAACTAAGTTGGCCATTTAAGTAGCAGTGTGAAAAAACAATCCCTGCAAAAGATCTATTTATAGAAAAACAGTATAAAAGACTTCCCAATTGGCTTAATTTATAGCTGAGAGTTTTAGTGTCACGCATAACTTTCCCTGAAGCACCCATAACAGAACAGTTTCCCCTCCATGCCAGCAATTCAAAAATATTTAAAAAATAATAATAAAGAGTTTACATTATTTTCAAATCTTTGCTTAGTGAGTATGAAAAAATAAGTAACTTGCTGCCGTAATTTAAAGCTTTTTGGGGAGCAGCTGGGGTGGGAAGATTGTTTGGTGGGTAGAATAATATGGGGTGGGTTGTTTTTGTTGTTGTTGGATTCTGAAAGCTGAGATTTTCTTGTGCTGGGAACACATGAAAGTTGTTGAATAGACAAGCAGACTGGGCATGTCTCTGACGCTTTGTATAATTCGTATGTGGACACTTGAGTCTCCGGACAATAAACAGTATTATCAAAGAAAATGAAAACAGGCTCTTTTTGGGTGGCATACACTTTGTTTCTGCTGAGGGGCAACCAAAATTCCTGCAGGGCCTCTTAACCACTCAGAACATTTGAATGGAAGAATGCAGGCAAATCAATGGAGGATCCTCTTCCCCTCCATAGCCTCAGTGTCAATGGCTTTAAATTCCCCCCTCCCACCTGTTTTCAGTATTTCTCCCATGTTCTTGATGTTCCCTTCCCTATCCAAAGTTGGAGTTACCAGTTATCTGAGTGATGGCAATTAATAATCCACCAATGCTGTTTAATAGTACATAAACCTCTGTTGAAAGAAAAATCTTCATCAGGATCCAGTCCAAGCCGGGAATAAACAAAATGGAGACTGCTTTAGAAAGAAGGTTGTAGTTTATTGAAGCGCAGAACCACAAGACATATGGCTCTAGAACAGCTGACCACATGTTGCTGGGAGTAGTGGGTTTTTATATCTTCTTGGGCTTTTGTGTCTGGAGTTGTTCCTGTTCCTGCGGCTTTGTATTTCCTGTGTCATGTACTTTGACCTGAGTCTGAGTGTGCTCTTTTTGCATTCTGATGGTGGGTTAATCCTATTATGTTCTAAATGTCATGTTCTGCTTTCCTGGGGCTGTGGCTGATGGCTATGTCCTGTATTGGATGGGTGAGGGATTGCTGGTTCTAATTCTATCACTCTGCTATTGTTAGCTATCAATTTTGCTGCAAGGGATTTTGAAAGATCCTATCTTGAATGGGTTTCTGCAGGTAGTATTTGCTCATGAATGGGGCCTCAGTCTTTCTGAATAGGATTATCAAATCTGCATTTCTACAGAGCTGGCCTGCTTAGTTTCTGTTTGGGGCTATTAAGAAAAACTGGGCCTGCTTTTCTGCCTTTAAGATCCTTTGGGGAAATATAATATTCTGCCTTTTTAATGTTTCCTTCTCTGGGTGTGTGTGCTTCCCAGAGCTCCATACTGTGCACAACGCTCAGCCTTCCCTCAGTTTAGCACGACTGCAAAATTACAAAAGGGATCTCAGGAATTCTATTTATTCTTACTGGAACAATTTAAAATCAGTACAATATAAAATGCCCCATTTCCAAACAGCCAATTTGGTGTAGTGGTTAAAGTACCAGGTTAGAAACTGGGAAACCATGAGTCATAGGCCCATCTTAGGCAGAAGAATCCATTAGATCAGGGGTCTCCAACCTTTTTGTTTTGGCAGCCCAGTGGGAGAGGGAGGGGCAGGCGCCTTACGCACGCACGCACAAACATTGTGGCCACACATGCATGCACATGTACAAACAGGCTGCAAGCATGTGCACCACGCAAATGGGGCTGCGAGCATGCGTGCAAGGCTCTCAGCAACGGCGGCGCCTGTGTGAGGCTTGTGGCACCGCTGCTTCCAGGCTCGTTTTGATGCTACCACCAGCGCGAGGATCGCGATGCAGTCCACAGTGATACCACCCCCAGCATAAGGCTTGCGCTGCTGCCCCATGTGAGGCTCGCGCCGCGACCTGCAGCGTGACCTGAGGCTTGTGCTGTGGCCCGCAACGATGCCGCTCCCGATGCGAGGCTCATACCACCGCCCCCATGCAAGGATCACGCCGCGGCCCACAGTGATGCTGCTCCCGGAACGAGGATCGCGCCACTGCCCCTGCACAAGGATCACACCGTGGGCCACCTGCCACTTGCGGCACTGCCGCCATCCACGCAATACTAGCGGTGCTGCCGCTGCCCACACACTTGCAGCAACAGTGGCATGAGGGGAGGGTGAGCACGCACACGTGCACACTGCCCAACTATTCACACGGCCTCACAGGCACATCCCATAGGTTGGGGACCTCTGCATTAGATCTTTAAAGTGTTGAGAATTCACTACCTTTATTCACAACTCTAATTACCTTCTCCAGTACTCTTTTCTCCCTGGCATAAATATTTGAACCCTATTTAGCTCACCCCCATCTCATCAGCTCTCCCGATTCAGGTATGTGGGATTAAAATCGCACAAAGAATAAACTTTGGTTTCTAAGGACAACCATCCGTTGTGCCGTCTAAAATCCTGACGACGGATCCTCCAAGCACTGCTACGTGCACAACTCACCACGGGAAAATGCAACAATTCAATTTATTTAAAATAATTTAAAAATATTTAAATTTTTGTCATTCACATTTCATTTTATTGCAGCAGGCAATGGTCCCATCATGTTTTAAGATGGCCATCATCTTGCCAGTGCCAAAAAAGTCCACAATTACAGGCCTCAATGATTACCGTCCGGTTGCACTGACATCCACCATTATGAAATGCTTTGAGAAGCTGATAAAGGACATTATTGTATCTAGCTTCCCGCCAGCATTTGACCCGCTTCAGTTTGCCTACCGACCAAATCGCTCTACGGAGGATGCTATTCCGTTCTCCATCTGAGCTTGAAGCACTTAGAGGAAAGAAATACGTGCATTTGTTGTTTGTCGACTTCAGTTTGTTTAACACAATCATTCCCCAGCATCTAGTAGACAAACTGGGCCTTTTAGGCTTAAACACACCTCTCTGCAACTGGATTCTTGATTTTCTTACCAACAGGCCCAATATGTGCGAGTTGGAACAAATACCTCTAATACCATTTTCTTGAGCACAGGTTCTTCTCAGGGCTGCGTCCTAAGTCCGCTGCTGTTCACCCTGTTGACCCATGACTGTTATGCTAGATTTGCCACCAACCATATTGTGAAGTTCACAGATGATACAACAATAGTGGGCCTTATTCATGATGACAAGGTGGAAGCTTACCGCAAAGAGGTTAAGGGGTTGGTGAACCGGT